GCTGTCTGTGTCTCTGTTGCGCCCGTTAGGAAGAGGTTAATCTTCAGCACGATTTCCGGCCACGTCTTCACAATCTCCATGTAGGTCGGTAGCTGCATCACCTGGACAGTCAAGTAACGCTCGTCATCGCACTTTTGTGGTCGATTTGGCTTCGTCTTGGTCTGAAGTGAGACGAGGACCCTCCCTTCCTGGTACTCGACCCTGCGCATGCTCGACACTGCATCTACAAACAGCCCTCAAAAATCAACTTCCAAAGACGCCCGCCTCCGTCATGTGGTTCTTGATGTAGGAAAGGCACTGCTGTTCAAGATGCTGGGCCTGAACCCAGGGGTTTGGGGCTTAGGCTTGGGGGGTTTAGGCTTGGGGGGTTTAGGGGTGTATGGGTAATAGGGCTTCGGGGTTTAGGGTTTAGGTGTAGGTTTAGGGCGTAGGGATTGAGTTTGAGGGTTTAAGGGTTGAGGGGTAAAAGGGCAAGTTTATACGTGCTTAGCTTAGGTGGACGGCCCACCCAGCAATAGTAACTTTAAGGAATAATGGTGATCTTATAAGGGTCCTCGTATATATATACCCCTACAACGGGGGTCAACCTAAGGATTAGTGTCCAGCCGGCCCTTGGAATTGCAACCCGCATGCGCCGGGCCCCGAACCTCGTCCCCAAGACACCGCGAAAGTTCCTAACCTTATGCTTTTTAACCCACAAACTCTTAGAGTCCGACATTGAGAGCCCTCCTTGACCTCCAAAACGCGAAGCTTCGGCTAAAAAAAATGGAGTGTAGGAACCGCTATTGGATTCTGAAAGTCATACACAACTTGCACATTACCCCTGCGAAGTGTTCAAAATCTCTTTACAGCCCTTATGCAAACATCATCTGCAAGGGGAGACAAAAAGTAAATTCCCCGGCCAAACAAAATCATAAAGAAACAATTAGACCTTGATTTTAAATTGTAAACCCAGACTTTACAAACAACCTACACATGCCCCAAGCTTTGAGCTGATGATATATCATCCCAAAAGGGGTGACAAGGCTGAAAGTCGCATCCCAACAAACGTAACATCATCGCGCGCAGCTCTAACCAAGTTTAACTCCTCTCCTGCTCCTCCTTCTCCTCCTATTACAACTACCACTCTACGACGACCAGAGTTTGTATTACGAACCAATGTTTCCAGACTCGTCCATCCGGATCCCTGGGGGCTATGAGAACATACAAGAATGATGCTCACATTGCAAAGCTCGCGAAATCAAAGAAGCCCAAATCCTAAACCCCAAATTACCAGCCCTACAACCCTGATTGCCGAAAATCATCAAACCCTGAACCCCTAAACCCGAGAGCACACCATACCCCTGGACAAACTCCAAACAGAAACTGAAACATACCCTACTAAGCCCCTGAATGGTAAACCCCAATGCAATATAAACCCTGCTAGGCCTGCAGGAGATGCGCCTGGCACAGGATGCCACAAACTGCAGACGTGCTGAGCCGCTTGCAGAGCTGCGCCTCTCAGGGTATTAGAGTTTAGTCTTGGTTCTTATCTAGGGCTCAGGGTCCTGGGTTTGGGGTTTGGGGTAAAGGTACGGGGATGAGGCCTTATGGATTTAGGCTTGCGAGTTTTAGTATCGATGAGGCCGAGGCTAACGGTTTCAGGGTTTGGTGTTTTGATTTAGGGTTGCAGTTGTTTTTCGGTTAAGTGGCGATACGAGCCACCTAGCTATAGTTGTAGGAATACTCTGGGTATTTCTGAGTATTATGTACGGGCTGCAAACAGCTCTTTTGGGTCATGCATTCGGGTTGAAGGTTAGACCTACTGCACGCCAAGATGGCCAAAAGAAGGGATCCTGTCAGCCAGATTTACTTTTCACGGGCCGGGAAGAGGCTTTGAGGCTTGTAGCTGAGTGTGCATCGCGCTTTTGGGGCTTGAAAGTGGCTTGAAGAAACCTAAAAGCTGTACTTTCACCATACCGTGCTCAGAACTTTGGGTCTTCACACCCATATGCATGCGTGTAAATACATTGTATATAGAGCAGAGGGCAGCTTAACCTGAAAGTACGGGACCATGATATTCGAGCACAACTACACGGAACATTACTTTGACCAGCTGGGTTCCGTAGGGGGTGGGTAGGCTCGAGATCTTAAAGTTTCTCTTGGAGTTGCGCCTCACACCAGCACCGGAGGCGTTCCGCCTGGTACCTTGCATAATCTGAGATGCCAGGGGAGCCTAAGACCTTGAGCCATAAACCCTGAGTCCTAAACCCTACATAAGCCCTGAACCTTGAACCCTGGACGGTTTAGGGTTTAGGGTTTGGCCCAAGGTCCTTTAGAGTCCAGTTCCTTGGCTGATTTCTGCGAAGACGGCTGTTAGTACTTCTTGGCTGCGTAGGGATTTCTGAAAAGCACTACACTTTGGGAGCGTGAGGAGCTTGGAGGGTAGAAGGCAATTGTGTAATTGTGTATGTCATTTTCGGAAGTTCTCACGATATCCCTAAACAATCCCGATATAATCACTATATAACCCCGTATAATCCTAAGATAATCCCTACATAACCTCATATCATCCTTGTAGAAACCCGAAACTCCCTTTTTTGAGAAAGAGCCTTGGGATTTGTGGAGCGGGCTTTGGCTGGAACCAAGCAGGTTGGCTGAAGGGTTTGGAGCTTTAGGGCTTTGGGTTTTGGGTTTGGGGATTAGGGTAGTTTGAATTTTCTCAGGGTTTGTAGGGAAGTAAGGGAACGCAATCTGTTGGGCTTCTATAGGGATTATATCTTTACTCCTTACTTTAGGTTCTCCCCAGCTCCTCTCCCCCAACATTACGGAAGTTGATGCAACAGGCCCCAAAGCCGCCACCACTTTGGTAAGAATCCTTCATTTAGGGTTTAGGGTTTAGGGCATAAAAGCCCGTCAGTATCGACACCTCAAAAGCAATTGCCAGCGGTGTTAACAAACAGGTGAGGAGTAGGGGTCTAACAGCTCAAAAGAGAAGGCCCCGAGAAACAAGCCCTTTCAACCCTAAACCCTTTCAACCTCAACATCCAAATCTATCAACCTCGTCCAAAAAGCAATGGCCCATAGAATCCTAGAAACAACACATTTCAACCTCAACCTCCAGATCCATCAACCTTTAAAAAAGCTGTTCGGATACTGCCCCAAGGCCAACCATCATCCCTTCACTCCGAATCAATGTCGGCAAGCACCCAGGAACTTTTCACAGCATATTACAACATCTTACATTGCATACTGAATTACTTACTTAGGGGTTACCAGGGAATAAGGGAATGTCCCTTTACAAGCTCATGTTGTGTCATCTGATTCTATCATACCTTCGCTCAGCCAAGGTGCTTGTGGCTCACCGCCAACAGGGCCTGCATGTCCTAAACCCTAAACCCTAAACCCTGAACCCTAAACCCTAATAAACCCTAAATCCTAAACCCTAAACCCTAAACTGTCCTTCAGTTGCGAGCTCTCATCTTGCGGATCGGCAGCGCTGCAGGGAGTTTGCGCAGCCAGCTCCTGGAGGACTCAGAGGTTGGGGTTCAAGTAAGGGATTACAATAGTACCCCAGAATTAGGGTTTAGGGTTTAGGGGTGAAGGGGTTTAGGGTTTTAGGGATTACACTAGTACCCCCCCCAAAGGTACCCCCCCCAGGGTTTACGGAGCTAATAAGGATTATATAGGGCTTAACAAGGCCTAATTGGATTCTAAATCTGGGGGGGGGGGTTCACTTGGGGGGGTTACTATTATAATCGCTTATCAAGGGATTTGGAGTTCCAGGCTTGGTTTAGGGTTTAGGGGATCTGGGGTTCATGGGGATTACAGCTTCAAGATTTAGCTTGAGCTGCAGAGTGGGCTTTAGGGGCTTTGGAGTTCAGGATCTAGTTCAAGGTTAAATGATGGATTTGAATTGGGTGGTTGTCAAAATTATGGTTCCTTTTTAGATCCCTATTCTATTACGGCACCTAATATTTAGGGTACCCAAAAAGGGACCATAATTTTGACATCCCCCCAATTAGATTGAACGGCTTTTCCGTCCGAACTCCAGATGATGGGACCTTTCATAAAGGGACCTTACTGGGAACCCCAAACAGGGAACCCCAACAATATAGTAGGACAATAAGAGGAACATACCTACCGGGGTCCTCAAATTCTATTAAATTCCTACTGTTTTCTTGGCGTTCCCTGTTTGGGGTTCCCATTAGGGTCCCTTTATTTAAGCCTTCGTACGTTTGCATCCCAACGTCTTTGACGTCAGGTTGGGCGTCTCTGGCTTGGGGCTTAGCGTTTAGGGCTTTGGGTTTAGGGAGTACTCTTCCTGGCAGGTTCAGGGTTTGGGGCTCAGGGCTGAGGATGCAGGATTTGGCGCGCTCAGGATCGAAATGGATCGAATCTAGGCTTTAAGCTTCAGGGCTCAGGGAGGAAGATACGCGGAATGTTTTAAACACCTCCCCGAAATTTTGAGAAGATCCCGGTCAATGGTATAGGGAGAAGCCTGTTGATGGCAAGCTGCTGCACCCACCGATGCAGGCTCGTGAGCTTTTGAAATGTCTTCTCCGGGATGCCGATGGAGCAAAAGTATGGGGGAGATATGCGGCTAACCTAAGAACCGAAGCTGGCTTTGAAAGTCGAACTTTCTGGGGGGCTAGCAGGGAATGAGGAAATTTAATAGCATATATTCCTGATATGATGAATTCCTTATTCCCTACTAACCGCAGTAGGTCTCAGGCTGTTTGGGGTTGCCGCTGGGGCAAAGGTTGTTGCCTTGGGATTGATCGTTCGAGTCCAGGGGCCCCCCAGAACGGCGATAGATTCAGGGTTTAGTTTTTCGGGTTGCTTGTGCGGCTTCGGGCACCACTTCCCGGAAACATAAGCAACTCGTCCGTGGGCTGGGCACAAAGCTTTTTGGACTCAGCTTTCTACTTCTTCATGAAGGCTACCCGATTGGAAATATCCGTTATAAGGGGGTGTTACTAGGATCTGTTAGGGGGAGGTGATGACTCAGCTCAGACCGCTTAGGGGCTCAGAGTGATTGGCTCCTCCAGGCTGGGCAAGATGTCCGTGTAAAGGAACTTGAGGAAGGCGCGGAAGATCTGCGCGGAGCAGTCCTTGATCACGATGACCTTCGAAATGGACTCCTGCGCAGTTTTGCGAAATGACTGTGCTACGTACGCGTCTCCGGCTTTCAGGTTCAGCATCCTATAAGCTGAACTTTCGTACATGTGAACTATTTTGAGAACTGCACTCCTGCATTCCAGCATTCAACTGCCTCTCGAAGACTGCGGACCTTGCCGGGGGCACTTCTACAGGAAAGAACGAGTATGTAGGAAATTTTGACGAGGAGGTTCCTGGCGATGCCTTGACAAGGACATCTGATAATCCTCAATCTAGAACAGAAGCCACTCTTGATACAAACCCATAATGTGCTTTCGCTAACTGAGAGGCCTCTCGCAAAGGATCGGCGAGTGCGCATGGATCACCTCCTCCCCGACCACAAAACGAACATCACTGTTGGTGCTCTTCTCGAAGAGGGCGTGCATGTCGTGCACGACGGTTGGCGCCGGAAGCTCCGCACTTGGACCTAGCTGGTCTTGCACTTTGGGAGAATCGCGGGGGCGCACCTCCAGCACGCACTTCACGGTCAGCTCATCGTCCTGGACCCACTCTGACCGCAGCAGCTCTTCGTGACTGAGGCCAAAAATGCCTAAGGCCGTCAGGGAGGCCGGGCGATGATTCTCCCAATGCACGTCGGGGCCGAAACAATCTTCACGCCACACGTAAGACACCTCAGAATCATAGCGGCCGTGACCCCCCTCGCCCCACTGCACGAAAGACCCATCACGAGCCTTGATGTAGATTCTGTACTGGAGTGATAGATCTGCCTCGTCATGATAGAAAATCGCCAGTGACCCACAATGCCACTCAAACAAGCAGCCTGCCTCGGGATTGTACCTGAGACTGAAGTTACCGTGGCCCACCATGAACTCTGGGGACTCAGCAAAATTTTTGCCGACAGCCCACAGCGCATCCTGCAACCAACGCATGCCCTTGATTGTCCAAACATACTCGCCTTGAGCGACCTGCTCATTGCATTGTGTGATCCCTTGGCCACTAGAGTTCTGGATGAACTTGTTGCCCTTTTCGGTCTTTCCAGCTCGCGGGATATCTCCATCTAGAAATGCACGGTCTGCATCGACATCTGCACGAAGCTCTGCACGATTCCTGTTGTGCTGCTGCGCAACCCTCAGTTCGTCTCTGACACATGCAATCTCTTTCCGCAATCGCTGCCTTTCTGCAGCCTCCTCTATCTCCGCATCCAGCTCATTTGTTCTGGCGTCCTCCGCCTGCAACTCTCGCCTTGCAGCCTCAAGCTCCGCACGCAAAGCATCTGCGTCTGTAGCTGCCATGGTGGAGGAGTGAGCAGCAGTCTCAACCGGCAGTAAGTAAAGGCCCAAAACCCCACATATGCCTCCGTATCCCTACATATTCCCACCTATTCCGCATGTATTCCTATACATTCCTGTAGATTCCCCCATGTACGAAAATACTATGGCGGCTTTGCACCGGACACCCCGGCCATTTCCCTTAAACTTCCAGCGATGCCCTTTCAAGGCTTTGCGCCCAGGTGCATTCTTTGGGGGCACACACTCCACCGCTACGCATCCCAAAATCTTGGAAACAAGCTTCCGCTGCAAGATACACCTCCAGCTCGATTCTGCAAGGAAAGCGCTCTGGAAACCTCCTGGTATGCTGTTCCTTATCATTACGAACTGCTTTAAACGACAGAATGAACAGCGACTCACGGCAGGCCTTGCATGAACTGCAACCACATGTATAAATGGTTTAGAGTTTAGGGTTTAGGGTTGACACAAAAATGGTATGAAAACAAGTCGAGCTTTGCATTAAATGATTGAACCCTGGAGCCCTAGGCCCTTAAACCCATGACTCCGATACCCGTCTGTCAACACGCCCACGAGAAGATCACCCTTCTTCCCTGGCATACTCGCTAAACCCTATATGGGGGCTTCCCAAAATTAGGGGTACCTTTTTGGGGGTAACTTTTACTGTCAGATCTTAGTTGCACTCCCATAGATTCGCACGTATCGTCTGTGTAGTCGGAGAGAACTAATTATGACCCATACGTATGTGACCTATTGGCTGCCCCACAGGGACACTTGCACCAGCAGTGACGAATCCTCTTGAAGGTAGCAGCCGCAGAAAAATGGCATCTTTCGCTGCCAGGCCACGCTTCAAAGAGTTTCTTGACCTGATCGTCGTCAAGAAGCCCGACAATTTGGAGGCACAATCGTGCACCAGGAGCTGGCGGCTGACTTTTGACTGGACATGTTGTCAATCTACGGTCCAAGTCATCACCGCGGGAATTTTCAGACTCAAATCAGGGCCCTGGCTGGGACTGACTAAGATTTTTCAAGCAAGACGTGAAACTACATGATTAAAGAACGAGAAGCTGACAACCCTGCCATCACGCAAGCCATTGTTGAACACCACCCTCACGGGCCTGCAGAGCACGCTTGGTTCTCGAGGATGGCAGCACGTTGTTCCGAATCATGTCCGCAAACAGCCCACAACCTCTAGCAGAATTTGTGTTGGGCAGCGCTTGACTTGACGGCGCTTTATATGCAGCATACGCACTGCACGCAGCGCACATGCAAAGTGACGGGTGTCTGTCCACCTGCAATCAACCTTTGATGAGTGGCGCGCAGGGCGCCTGTTCTCCAATCGTTGCTGTACATGACGCAGCCTCACCGAGTGGCAACATTTGTTGTTACAAAGAGATCATAATAGACAGACATTTTATGCATACCATGCTATCGAAGGTTGTTAGTTGGGCAGGATACTTCTGTGGATATGTTCCTACCATAACACTCTCACAGCCAACATTCCTGAATGCCCGGGTCTGGCCCCATTTCTGGGGTCTTTGCGCAAGGTCCCCAAGAAGGTGGCTTTCTCAGGGACTAATAGAAGATTGTGGTCTGCAAGCCCTAAATCACATTCCACCGGTTAGTTAGTTGCAAGCCTGTTGGTTCACTCAGAATCTTGAAAGTCCGCCCAGACTGAGACTGAAATCATCGCACAAGGGAGACTACACGCTCCCCGCCTTCCATGAGCGCGTTGTAGATATGCTCGTTTTCGCCGCCGCGCTGCTTAATGTGCTCGAACAGCACCAAGGCCCGCATCGAAATGCGCAGGCTTCTCCCGCCCAGATCACACATCAGAATTCAGAGACGTGTCGCCGGCCTTGGGAAGTTCGCCTTCTTGGCAGTAGACCTTCAAGACCGTGAAGTAGCCTAACAAGAGTAAACACATGAAGTAGAAGCCAACGTCGCTGTCACAAGCTCAGAAACGTGTGATGCGAAAATCCTGGGCAGACCACAAACTTTATGCACCCTCCGAAAATTAGTCATCGCTTCCCCATCATAATACATGACGTCTCCCCAGCGGTGTTACAACAATCCGCCCGAAGTATCAAGCGCTATCTTTTTAATGTAATGGGCGAGATAGGGGCCATTTGATTACATAGAGAAATTTCCCAGTCATTGTAAGACTCTCCCTCAAACCATTTAACCGAAGCAAGATCGTTTAATTTCTAACTGCAGACTAAACCTGAATTAACATTGTTTGGAATCGGTTAACACCGTGTAAATGGCTTCGTTAATCCAATTTAAAACTGGTTCAACAAAAATCAAACTAAGATTAAGTCAAAACCAGATCCGATGGAAACTTTTTAGTATAAATTCTAAGGCCAAAATAGACAACCATCTCAGGGTTCTGATTACTGGGGACATGTTCATCGGCCCTTTCTGCAGTCTACGGGCTTTTTTACACTTTCTGGGCGCATATATCATTGGAGTCGTTTAGTCTTTGCGCATCACTAAACACCATGGACCTCATAAACCCAAGGAACAGCATGCGCCAAGTCACTGATTACATTAGGTTCAATGAGGCTGGAGTGCATCATCTGATGCAAGATGTCCTGGCGGGACGCTCACACGCAGGTGGGTCAATACCACGCACCAACTCAAAATAACAATGTAAGCAACCCCCGATCCCGGTCCTCCGCCGCGCACAAGTTCCTGCTTTGGATGTGGGACTCCATGATGCCATTACGTCCCAACGGTGAACGGCAGCGGGCGGACCTGCGCCAAGCTTCGCAACCAGGGAAACTCTAACAAACAAGGGATGTCTTAAAGATAGCAAGCAGCAGTAGAGCAGTAGTAATAGCAAGGGTTTCCAAAGATTCGTGGCCACAAATGGCCACTTCCATGGTGGCTCTGAAGTAAGAACCCTTCGAGAAGTGCCTCCTTAGTCCTGGAGACAATCCCAAGTTTGAGGCACTGCATCGATGTCACGTTACGTTGCTGTTCTTTGTATGTGTCTTACTCTTGGCTTGATGATTTGCAGTCCAAAATTTGCTTTAAAAGCTTCTCTGTAACCCTCTATAAGCCCTCACCACACGACAGGACCCAGACCAGAGGACCACAGGACCACAAGGGGGGTGGGGTACCTTCATAAGCTTCCACTAAAGACTCTATCAAACCTTTACAAGACCTCTATAACCCTCCAGAAAACTCTCTAGCCTTTTGCAAGCTGTCTATAACAGGCTGGAACCTTTTGTAAACCTTCCACAATGCTGTAAAAAAACCTAAATAGTATTACTTGGTGTAGGGTTTAGGGTTTAGGGTGGTTGTGAAAGGACTATGGGGCTTTCATGACAAGGTTTGGCTGAGGCTCAATCTCAACGATGATTCGCACAGTGAGGCTTCACGGGCCGCATTAAGGCCAGACCAAAATCTCCCATATACAGGTCGTCGGGTTTGGGTCGAGATTTCAACAGCATTGCAAGTACATGCACAACGAGCCAGATGTGCCATCTGATCTCTCTGCTTGGTAGGAATTGGTAGGGACTATTGTAGGCGATTCAATCAGGATTTAAGGTGTTTTTTTGCCCTAAACCCTAAATCCTAGACCCTAAACCCTAAACCCTAAATCCTTGACCCTCCAACCTGCCCTACTAGGCACCAGGTAGTCTCCCAGGCCAGATGCCAATGATCTGACTCCCGGTTCAAACCTGTAGCCCATGCCCCACCAGGTTTAGGGTTTAGGGTTTAGGGTTTAGGGTTTAGGGTTTAGGGTGTAGGGGTATGAGGTTTAGGTTGGGTACTGCCCCCACCCAATAACAGTTGGATAATCTTCATAATATACTTATATATAGCCCTTAATCTGACCCCTAGTAGAAACTGTTACTGGGTGGGGGCAGTACCCAAAGTTTAGGGTGATCTCCCCACAAACTAAGACGAACCCCTGGCACCTCATAGAGCCCCCCTTTAAAGGACACTGGTCTCAACATGAAGTTCGGGGAGAGGGTAGCCCTAACCTCAAGAGACTCTGACTCAGGTACTCAGGTTTACTGTCCCGCTTAAGTAAATAGAACATGGCTTTTGGTATATGAGAATAAGATCCCCATATACCCGAACCCTAAACCCTAAAGAGTAGCTTCCATTTTCTTTTCCATTTTCTTTTCCATTATCCCAATATTCTTTCTACTTGAGGGGGACTATAGGGTTTCAAGTTTGGGGTTGAGGGTTCCATATCAGGAGACTGTAGCGGGAGGGAGGTCTTGGGGGCTTGGAGTTTAGGGCTTAGGGAGCCTTAGGGGGGGTCCTTTACTTTTTGGTCCCCCTTATGATGGACTTCTTGATCCCCAGTCACATCAACTCTGAGACCTCAGTACCTAATTATATCCTACCCTCCATAGGGTTTAGGGTTTAGGGTTTAGGTTCATCCCTAAACCAACATGGATTCTTTTTAGATTTGTGGATCCTTTTTTGGGAGGGCCCCTACATTGATCCTTGCAGATGATGTTGGGGGGAAAGGACAAGTAGGACTCTATGCTATTGTCTGAAACAAACGAAAACCGGGGCATACCAGGGCCACGGCGCAAAGCTCGTGCAGGTAGATGCCGCCACGAACGCTTGAACCTAGGGAGGGGTACATAGGGATATACAGTGATAGGGTCTTAGGGTTTAGGGTTTAGGGTTCAGGATTCAGGGTTTAGGGTGAGGGAATAGAGCGGTGCATATGGGCGTGTGGGATTATGTTGGGATATGCCGTATTGACGTAGGCCAAGACAGGAGTGCAGACAAGTAGGCTGTAGCTCATATGTCTTACCTTTTCACCTGAGGTCCTAAACCAAACTATAAACACAATGCAAATTCTAGACCCTACGGCCTGGACCCTGAATTCTGCTCCCAAGTCCTGACGCCAAAAGCCATAGTCAATCTAGCACTAAACCTATAGGGGGACCGAAGATAAACCCCAACATACTATAGTCCTTGTTACGGAGACCTCAAAAAAACTGCCCACAATTTTGGGAAACGTCCATAGA